GGCCGCGGCCGCTCTCGAGTGTTGGCACTGCGGAGAGGCGAGTCGCCCTCAGCAGGGCGCGCCCCGGTGCCTTGAACCGAGCGGCGGGCACGGGGCGCCGGCAGCGGGGGGTGGGCTAGGCCGGGCCGGGTGAGGGCACGTCCCGAGAGGAGAGAGGTGAACCCTCCCTGCTCTGCCAAATACCGAAGCCGTGCCTGTGGCCCACCAGGTGAAATCTTGTCTCTGGTGGGTGTTGGTACCTGTGGGTGTTTTTGGTGTTGTCTGGAGTTTTCCGGGTGCTTTCAAAATACTTTTTAAAAGCGTAGCAGAGGTTGAAGGGCTGCTCTGTGGCCTGCCGGCACCTCCTGAGCCATGGGTAAACCCTGGCAGCCAGGTGGGCCAGACAGGCCTTGTGTGTAGGCACCGTCCTCAGCAGTCAGGTCATGGAAAGTTTGAAATTATTATTCTCTTTTCACATAAAGTTGTGATTGTATTGTTAAAAAATGCTTTTTTATTTTATTTTTAAAATTAATACTTAATGCCTGGAGTGTGCAAGCTTTTATCTTAATCAGTGTTTGCTCTTTGGAAGGTATTTTGTGGTGATTACCAACTTTTTCTTGCTTCCTTGAAGGTTATTTCATGTTTTTATAGTGTTTGGCTGTAAGGCATCAGTTTTCATCTATGAACTGCTGGGGATCCTGGGCAGTTTATAGGAGATGGAGAGACCGTTTGTGATAAACACACCCAGGAGAGGCAGCACTGCTGTTCTAAGCTTAAATCTGCCCCAGAAGCATTTTCTGAAAATCAAGCAGAGACCTAGAAACTGAAAAAGGCTGAAAAAAACTCCAAGTTAGTATTTAAGAGAATGTTGTGGTTGCCCAGCCCTTCTGGAAAGTCTTTTGGTTTTATTGGTCATTATTTTGGTGAATGAATGGTGACTTGCATATGAGTCTGTCAGTACCAATGAAAGGTTTGTCACAGTCCCAGATATTCAAAGGATCTGTAAAAATGTGGATTTAAAAATGTGTGGATGGCTGACAAAGAGCTCAGGCAGTGATGTGAAATATTGCCATCTAACAGCTTTTTGGGAGATTTGTGTAAACTAAATTGTTAGTCTAGAGTTCAGCAGGCAAAGTATGCAAATGGAAATTGATACTCCTTTCAGCAACTGGAAGGGAAAGGCCAGGGCCAGAGTGCACTCCGTAATGAACTCAGCCCTCTAAGATCGAGACTGAGGTGCACTGATGAGAAAAGTGCTTGGCTCTTTTGTCTGCAGTGCATCTCTCGGATGGATAAATACACGACTCGCTGTTCATCACTGTCAAGAAAATTGTCACTTCTCACAAGCGCTACATTAATTAAAATTGAGAGTAAGGACTGGGAAGTTAGGCATTTGCAATCTGAATTTTAAAAAAAGGAGGATGAAATTATATGCTCTTAGCATGTTGTGTGCTCTAGTGCAACTGCTATTGCTTAGTAAAACAAAAACAGGCACTAGAACGAGGGAAAATCAAAAAAGTTACGAGGTAAAATTAATTTCCAAACCTTTTGTAGCCCTTATCCTATGCAGCTAGCAGGGCTGTGTAAGATCTGGTGCAAATGAGCTAGTGAAACAGCGTAGCAGAATAAAATATTTTGAGTGTTTCATTTGACTGACTTATGTGTGTGTATATACATATCTTTAAAAAAACCTGAAAGCAGACTAACATACAGGTTTTGGAGGTAGAAAGCACCCGCAGTTCCCACAATTAACTTCAGCTAAAGTGGTGCCCGTTCAGTATTTTGTGACTAGCAGTAGGAAAACTTTGTTTTTATTGCCGTGTCTCTCGGAGAAGCCGCAGGTGACGCGGTGTGTTTGGGAGCAGTGCGGGGAGAAATGGTTGTGCATCGTTGGCTTGGAGCTCTGTGGGGAAGCGTTACAATCCCTGAACTCCATCCCAGTCCCCGCCTTCCCATGGCTTTTGCCGTTCCCTTCGGTGGAAGAGGTAGGGGCTGTGCTGCTGAGGCTGAGCACAGCTTGCCTCACCTCGGTGGGCATGGGAGCTCAAGCCAGCTCCAGAACTCATGTCTGGACGCTGATTTACTGCAAAGGAGTTAAAATTAAACTTTTCTGCACTGTCTACACACACATTTTGCCCTCGCTGGAGAGTTTGGTGTCTGTGTGGACAGGTGTATGTACCATTTAGGTCTACGATTTATAAATACAGGGGCAGGTCGGGATCATCTGAAAATGGATGTGGCTTTGAGCCGCTTCCACGAGTCCCTGTGACCGGACCGAATGTCCTGGCCGTGAGCTTCATCCCTGAGCCTGCAGAAGCAGCAGGCAGGGGCCGGGCCCTGCCCTCTTCTCTCCCTCCAGGCCTGTGAAGGCCACTCGTGTCCTTTTCTCCACAACACCTGCGGGCTCGCCCCTGCTCCCCTGTCCCGCCCGGCCGGGGGTGCGGGTCCCCCTCCCTCAGGAAGTCATGCAGTCCAGCCTCCTGGTCAAAGCAGCATTGGCACTGAATTCAGACCAGGTTGCTCAGAGCTTTGTGCAGTCAGATCTTGAAAACCTCCAAGGATGGTGATGGCACTAACTCTTGGGGTAACTTGTTCCAATATTTGTCTTTATAACCTGCGTTTTTACTGATATTTGAAAGAGTTGTTCATATTCCTTCCTGTGTGTGAAAGGAAAAGCTGAGACTGCAGTGCAACTAGCTATATTGAGACCTTTGTTGAATACTTGAGGTAAACAGGGAGTAGTACTATTTTTTTTAATTAAATTCGATATAGTTAGCTTAGTATTTTATTATTACATTTATTGACTGTGTATCTGTTAGCATTCTGGTTGGATACATAATTTATTAATTTGATTTTTGTTTTTTTAAACCTCATCTAGGTTATTCTGAGTAATCCCAAAAATAGCCTTCAACATGCCTGAAAATCCTGCTGCAGGTATGTAGCCTGAAAGTGATTACTTTTGTTAAGCACTGAGAAATGAAGCCCGTTCCTAACATGTACTACTTTGTGGTGCAGATAAGCAGCAGGTGCTGCAGATCCTTGATCGTCTGCAAGCAAAACTGCGTGAGA